ATCTTTAGCTATCTGGCTAATAAAGTAACTGGTTCCTATTTGTCTTCGGGCATAGGTACTGGCTGACTCAAAATCATAAAATCCTTTAAACTGAGGTGCGTATTTGACTAAAGGTTCTACTTCTGTCCAATCATGGTAAATACCAGGTTTGGTTCCTTTAGCTATTACATAGAAAGAAAAACTTTTAGACAAGGGCTTGTTTTGGATTTTTGAAAAATATATACTGAGAGAGTTTAGGGCTGAAAGACGCTTAGCTGGGTGGTTTTGACTGGTCCAAAGGTTATCTAAAAGACACTGTTGAACTGGGTCTAGCTCAATCCCTGTTAAGGGTCTGAACTTGGTTCTGCCTTCATGAATGGGAAGAGAAAATCCTCCAAAGTTCATGGTCTTGCTGTTCTCCATTATCTGCACAAAAATTAAACTGGTTATCTTCTTTTTCTAAATAAATTTTTCTACTTAACCAGTCCGTTAATTTATTATCGCTTCCTTTAATATGCTCAAATTCTACTTTATATCCCTGTCCTACTATACAATCTAAAAATTTTGCCCATCTTCTAGTACTTAATTTACGCTCGTTTAGTTTGTTATGAAAACTAACTATGGCTTCACAATCTGTCCTTATTGTAAAAGGTTTGTGCAAAAATAATCTAAATTTATTTATTGCGTATATTACTCCTAGTATTTCAAAATCTAGGCTGGTCATAGTTGTATCTTTTTCTTTAAATTTTCCAGAACTATATCTACAAATGCGTTCTTTATTTTTACTTTCATATTTACTGGGTTTAGCTAATAATATTGTTCCTCATCCTAATTGACTTGCGTCTGTTTCTACAACTATGTATTCTGATTCTAAGGGAAGTTGTAGGTCTGGTAGATTTTTACAAATGTCTTTTATTTTTCTAACTAGAGCTATATCTTGCTGATTGAAATATTTCTGTCCTGTGGGTGTGGTCTTACTATAAAGGGGTCCTATTATTTTACTAAGGTTAGGAATATACATTCGTGCATAATTTAAAATTCCTAAAAAAGATTGAAATTGTTTTGTATCTTCTAATATATCTGGATAGTCTAAAATTTTCTTGACTATATGAGGTTGTAACCTAATTTTCCATCTCCTAGCTCCATTCCTAAAAATTCTATGTAGGGTTTATTTAATACCATCTTTTTCTTGCTGATTATTATTCCATTATTTATGAATTCTTCTAATGTTATATACAAATGATCTATTTGTGCTGAGGTAATCCTATAATCTTTATTTTTTATATCTAGACTAGCTAAGATTTTATTTCTTTCCCAATATTTCATGGGCTGTTCTCCTAAAATTTCTATTGTTTCAGCTAATCTTATTATCTTATCTAAATCATTTTCAGTTCTCCTGTATATTGGTTTTTTCTTTATTTTTCCTATTTTTGCAAAAATTAATTCTAAATTAGCTGGTTGTTTAAGATCTTCTAGGTTCCAATAATCTTCCTTATTTTCAAAATCAAATTCTTCTAAATCATAATTTTCTGTATCTAAATTTTCTAAAGACGTATTTGCTATCTCATTAGGTATATATTGGGAAAAATATTTCTACTTGGAAATAAAAAACTAGCGGGAACTGAATCTACTCCTATAGTACCACCACGCTTCGCACGCAACTCTGAGGAATGGGTGATGGTGCTAAGGGCATAAGCTGTTGGAGTATGTACAATTCGCTTGAAGAAACTAATGTTGTGTTGACTGAGGAACATGCCACCTTGTAAGCTAAGGATGAAATTAAGTCCTAAGATGAAAGGATGATTCTGTCGGGTATTTCCAATCCAAACCTGAGGTAAAGGAAACCATTCTATATGCTGATCTTGAGAACCTAGATGATGAAAACTAATCTATGCTCCATTGATGCAATGCGTGTATATCTGTTTAGTGCCGTCGGCTATACTAACTAAGGCTGGGGTTGTTAAAGTTGTGCTCCATCCTGGGGGAACTACTTGTTGTTCAATATATGATTTACTAGCTCCTGTATCTATCATGGCATCTATACTAAAGGTTTTTGCTGCAAACTTGATTACACAAGAGATCTCAACTAGATTTGGTTTAGGGATAACCGGATAATTGAATGGTAAAGATGTAGTATCTGGTTGGGCTTTGGAGTATTGACTAAAGGGTTGAGAATCAACTAGGTTGACTAATTCTAATGAATTCATATGTTCTTCAATCAGTTTGTCTTTTAAAGGGTACTTATTGTGAAATTGTTCTAACTGCTGTTTAAGTTGTCTATTCTCTAATTCTAAACATTCTATGTCAAAACTAGTCTTAGTTTCGATCTCATGTATTTGTATCTTAAGTTCTCTTACTTGTAGTTCTAGTTCTCTAATTGTTAAATGTAATTCTCTGCTTTCTAGATTATGATCTTCTTTAGTATTTCCTAATGCTATCTTAGGTGTCACATTTAATTTTTCTAGACAGACTATACAATAGGTTATACTGTATAATAAACATTGAGCTCGTTTATCTTTAGCTGGAAACCAATTACAATAGCTACATCTAGTGGTATCAAATCCTAATCCTGTTTGAAAGTTATGCTAATAATTTAATTTTTGATAGTGTTAATTTAAGAAAGAGTTGAGTGTAGGCCCTCTTAAGAGGATTTATTATTTAGTAAGTCTTATAATAATTAATAGTATTTGTTATTAGATATTATTAAAAAATATCATTAATTATTAATTTTTAATCATAATTTAAAATTTTTATTATAAAAAATATTACTAATTATAAATTTTAGCGATAGTTTGAAAAAATCGTCACAAAAAAGTCATTAATTTTTAACTTTCAGTGACAATTTAAAAAATCTATCATAGAAAAATTTCACTAATTGTAAATTTTATCGACAATTTATAAAAATCGTGCCAAAAAAAAGTCCCTAATTGTCAATTTTTAACAATATATGTAAAAAAATCATTATAAAAAATTATTTTTAACAACGATTGTGCTAAGACTTAGGCGAGGTTTGACATTCCCTAAAAAAGTCAAAAAGTTACTATCCTATTTAAGTCACATCATCCTATTTAAGTCACATCACCGCTCTACCACATCATTTCGAACCCAACCCATATTTCATAAAAAGTAAAAAAATGTACTTATTTAGAACATCCCAAACAACCTTTCAATAGGATTTAATAGGAATTAAGTCAAACTATTAAAATCTATTGATAGTTAGGCCAAGTTTGGCAATACTAAAATAATTCATCTTTTTATCTTTTTTCCATCACATCACCTCTCTACTTTTCTGCACATCTTTTCGTAAAAAGACAAAAAGTGCACTTATTTAGGTCATCCCACATAATCTATAGAGTTTTTTATTATCAATTTAATCCCCATAATTTTTTAATTTTATATTTTTTGTAAGTAAAAAACTTAAATAAATTTTTAAATTTTTAATTGATGACAAACAAGGTTCTATTTGGTAGAGTTTTTGAAATTTAATTCTACCCCTTAGTTTGAGTGTGTTGTTTGGTTACAATTTTAGAAAATTAATTCCACACCCACTTTTCAAAACACTTATTTTTCAATATCATATGTCACATCATTCAATTCAAACTCTTTTCAAAACTCATAACCAAATAAATTTTTCACACTTAAATCATAATTCCAAAACTCATAAACTCAAAATACAACTTTATTCTCAAATCATAATTTTAAAACTCTACCAAAAATAACCTAAAATTTTAAATTTCTGACTTTGGGGTAGTCTCAAAATTATAGGGCATTTTGACTATTTTGTGAAAACGAAACGAGTGCAAAATTAATGATGGACTGGGCCATTAGGGTGCTAATCGGATTGGGCACAAGGCCATCCCAGAATCCAGAAAATAAAAATAAAATAAAAAATCTGAAACTCCAGCCCACTACAGCTCAAACTTAAGACGGCCAGAGTCCAGTTCACTTGCAGTTTTCCGAGTCCAAAGCCGAACTGCAAGCAAAAACACCTTCCGATCTCTCACATTTTCTCTGCAACTTTCTCTCGAACCAAACAGTCGTCACTCATGATTCTCTCAGCTCCTCCAGCCACCGTCACGGCCTCCGCCGCGAAATCCTTCATGCACACCATGAAACGCTACGTCAAGAAGCCACGGGAGACCACCGGCCCCTGAGCCGAGCGCCGCATCTTCTGCACCGCCACCGTGACCAGCGCCGCAATCCGCCACACCACCTTGAAGAAGGCCGACGTTGAGAGATGATGATGATGAAGGAGAATAATTTAGACGTCAAATAAGGTTAGCCACTTGATATTCCCATCGAATATTGGGACTTGGGGTTTTTTATTTTTTATTTTTATTGTGATATTATTTTAATAGAATAGTTGCAACTTTTAACTTTACTTGTCAAGTAGCGAATTGTTGTTTTTATAGATTTCAATGAGCTTTGAAACCATTAGCACACAAGAAGCCAAATTTTCAATTTCATGTTTCTTCAAACTCTATCCGAAATCTCAAGCCCTCCATTGTCATCTTCTTTGGAATATGAAACACGAATCTAATGCAGTGTTTGGTTGGGGATTTGGGAAGAGAAAAAATGTGCTTGAAATTAGATAAAATATATTTATATTTTACAATCTCTTCCCAAATCCCTCAACCAAACACACCAAACACACGGTTGTAAAAAAATTGGTCACCAACACCAATCAAGCTGAATAATTGAAAAGGTGAGCAAGTTATTCTAATATAATTATTTTGTATATTAATTTTTTTATGATAAATTATTTTGTATATTAATTTATTAAAAAAATAATAATATCATGAATTTGATTAATTATCATGAGTTTGATTAAAAATAATATCATGAATTTGATTAATTATCATGAATTTGATTAAAAATAATATCATGAGTTTTGTGTTGGGATTTTGAATTAATAATATATATATATATATTTTTTATACTAGAAAAAATTATATTTTATAGATAAATGATGCAAAGAAAATGAGATACAAATAGTATGTTCACTTCACTAATATATATATTTTTTCCATCAAGTATTTCTAATTAGCTCAATTTGCTGGTTTGAAACTATCAAAATGTTTATCAAACTGAGGATGGGTAGGTTTGCCACAGTGAAAAATGTTCAATCCATTTACAACAGTTTTTTTGATGATCTTTTCCAAAATCAACTCAATAGTTTAAGATTAATGTTCTATAAACTAATAAATTTTACAATTTTTTTGTCTCCGCTACATTGGTTGTTTCTATCAAATTATTTAAGCAGGTTCTGTTTTAAATTCTAAAGTTTTATCTTTGCATGCCACACATGCTAGTAAAATAAAAAATTTATAGCACTTTATTAAACCATAAAAATTATTAAAAAAATACACGTGAACATGTAGCATTATTGTGATAACCACATTAATGAAAGTTGTTTATTATGGTGTTGATACTGTATTTAGGGTTCGTCACTGCATTTTTTCAACTTCGAGACCACTGGCGAAGTGAGAGGCAAAGGCTTTAATTTCCTGTTTCTTCAACATTATCCCAATCTCAAGCCCACCATTGCCATCCCTGGAATCAAAAAGAGAGAATGCTCCATTTTTATCAATTGATGTCATCTCCACCTTCTTCGGTTTGCCCCATCCAAAGTCAGTCTTGTACAGCTCAAAGCGTGGTGAACTTGCAATGCTAAATAACCTATCCATGTCCATAAAAGGCAGTTTAGCCAACTCAACCCCATCTAGAATTCCATCATTCAAACCTTCTATAGCTTCGCCAATAGCTTTTGCTGCCATAGCCACCCCATCTTCTCCTATTAAGTCATATGAATCTGCATCTATGAAACAGCCTGAAATGCAGTTCCCAAAGTAAGTTGAAGGGATAGGGGGTTCCAAACGAGCCCTGCAATCGACACTGAATCCCAGATGAACTTTCCCTGTCCTTATTTTTCGGGCTTTAACTAGGGAAACCCATACATAGGCACTTGTTATTGTAAAGGTCGACACGTACATGGCTAGTTTGTGTTTATACTTCTCTTGCCATTGAGCGTTCACCCTCTTCTTGATCAACTCTATGTTTGCCCGTGTCAATTGGAACGTGCAAATCATTGCATCGGGTTGAGCATTTGCATTCAGTATCATGAGGCTTTTGTTTCTGGGTTCAATATATTTCAACACAAAGTCTAGGTTATTTCTCTCAAGATCATTTGGGTCATCAATCAAAGTCCTGTCGTAGCATGGAGTTAGTTCAGGCATTAAAGTTGAGTCTCCACTGCGTCGGCAAATGGAAGCCCATGAATGCATAAACAGAGCTGCAGTTTTCCCATCCAGTACTCCATGATGTGTGGTGTAACCAATTGAAAATCCAGCGTTTGGGAACAAAGTGATTTGCAATGTCATCACCGGTACTCGTGTGTGAGAGGCCGGTAAGTTGGGTACAAAGGGTTGAATTTCTTTGAATTCGTGAGAGCTGTTGCTTGAGAGATAGTAGAAATCAGCTTCAGACTCAGCTATGGTAAGTGAAAGTGCATCATCACCTTCAACGTATTGGGTAATGGGTTTATCAGAATCTGGGAGCCACGTCAGATTTCCGGCGAGCGGAAGGTAGTAGTGGAGCGTGAGAGAGAGGGAGTGCTTGAGTTTAGGAAGAACTTCCTCTAAGAACGTAGTGCTCGGATGGGAGGTTTCATAGAAGAAAAGGCACCGAATTGGAGACACTGTTAACCAGAACACATCAAAGAAAGTAAGTGGAAGTGAGGTTGAGGTGGCCGAGCTAGGAATTGGAGTCACTCTGCAAACCTCAACCACCTTCATTGTATTGGGTTGTGTTGCCCTGAGAGAGAAAACAGCTCAAGGAAAAGTAGAAAGTTGGTGGTGTTTGTTGAAACTTTCTGGTTGATTTGATTGTATTTATAGTATGAAAAACTCATTATAATAATGGTTGATATACCTCTGATTGAATTAGGAAGAATTTTTTTGGATTAATCGATAGAGGATTCTTTGTTATGGAATGTATTGTATTAAAACTTATATGAATAGAGATCTTAATTTGATAATAAATAAGTGAATAGAGTTTGCTAACTTTGATATCCTTATGATGCGATATTTTTTTAATGAGAAATGGTAGAAGCTCATAATTTATATTTCACGAGTTGGATCTTACATGATTAGGGTTGTGATAAATTAAAAGTTTGACACATAAAATATCATGTCAGTGTAAGATTTAAATTGTAAATCTCAATATTTTTCATTTTTTAGGAAGTACTAAGACTATGACCCCGTTTAAGAAGTTGGCTGTGTTAGTAATTGTCTATTTTAGTCTGGCTATAATAATTGTGTGTGGGAATAGTGTTAGATTTTTTTGTAATTAGATGTGATGTTTGTGAAAGAAAAAATAAAATTGTTATGGATTTGAGGTAATATTTTGTCTTGTAGAATATTTTAATTTATTTTATCTTTTAGTGTTATTTTAGTCTAAAAAGTCAAAAAAAGTCTTTTTCCAAACATCCTGCCTATAGAGTGCCAAGTAAAAGCCACATGGAGGGAAAAAAGAAGAAGAAATACACTACATTTAAGGGTTGCTATTTACACTTCACTTTGTTTTAAATATACTCTATTCTTTGTGCTATTTACACTCCACTTTGTTCTGAAATATACTCCATTTTTTGTCCTTATTATTCATAGTTACTTTAATACCTCTGGAATTTGATTTTTTTAGGACGCATATTTTGTGTGAAAGGGTATTAATGTAATTATATATAATAAAGGACAAAGAATGGAATGTATTTGAAAAAAAGTGAACTGAAAATAGCGACTCCTTACTTTTAATACTATATATGTACTATATGATTTGTATTTTATTCCATCCAATAACTCTACGGACGTATAACCAACCATAGAACTAATAAGATAAAATGAAATTATGAAACTATATATTTTATGATAAACTCTGCCATTATTATGTTTTGGCTTTGTTGTTGTCGTCGGCGGCGGCGGCAGCAGTCTTCTTCTTCTTTTTTTTTTTTTTTTTTTTTTTCCCGCCTATTGTATTAAAACTTATATGAATAGAGATCTTAATTTGATAATAAATAAGTGAATAGAGTTTGCTAACTCTGATATCCGTATGATGCGATATTTTTCTAATGAGAAATGGTAGAAGTTCATAATTTATATTTCACGAGTTGGATCTTACATGATTAGGGTTGTGATAAATTATAAGTTTGACACATAAAATATCATGTCATTGTAAGATTTAAATTGTAAATCTCAATATTTTCCATTTTTTAGAAAGTACTAAGACTATGACCCGTTTAAGAAGTTGATTGTGTTACTAGTTGGCTATTTTAGTCTGGCTAAAATAATTGTGTGTGTGAATAGTATTAGATTTTTTTATAGTTAGATGTAATGCTTGTGAGAGAAAAAAATAAAATTATTATGAATTTGACGTAATATTTTGTCTTATAAAATATTTAATTTATTTTATCTTTTAGTGTTATTTTAGTCTAAAAAGTCAAAAAAAAGTCTTTTTCCAAACATCCCCCTATAGAGTGCCAAGTAAAAGCCACATGGCGGAAAAAAAGAAGAAGAAATACATCACGTTTAGGGGTTGCTATTCACACTTCACTTTGTTTTAAGTATACGCTATTCTTTGTGCTATTTGCAGTCCACTTTATTCTGAAATATACTCTATTTTTTGTCCTTATTATTCATAGTTACATTAATACCTTTGGAATTTTGATTTTTTTAGGAAACATATTTTGTGTGAAAGAATATTAATGTAATTATATATAATAAAGGACAAAGAATGGAATGTATTTAAAAAAAAGTGAACTGAAAATAGCGACTCCTTACTTTTAATACTATATATATATATGATTTGTATTTTATTCCATCCAACAACTCTACGGACGCATAACCAACCGTAGAACTAATAAGATAAAATGAAATTATGAAACTATATATTATATGATAAACTCTACCATTGTGACATAACATGAAACTATATATTTTATGATAAACTCTGCCATTGTTATGTTTTGGCTTTGTTGTTGTCGTCGGCGGCGGCGGCAGCAGTCTTCTTCTTCTTTTTTTTTTTTTTTTTTTTTTTTCCAGCTCTAGTGAGCTTGTGTAGAGCTCAAAATTTAGGGGGATGTATCATTGTTAGATTATTTTATGTTGTATTTCATCAATTATCATTATCTATTGTTTGGGAATATAGTTTTTGATTAAAATAGTTAATAAAGACAAAATAAACTAAAATAGTTAATAAGACAAAATATCACATCTAAATCAGAATTATTTTATTTTTTCTCTCACAATCATCCAATAAACTATAAAATAAAAAATTATTATCTCAAACACAACTTTTTTAGTTAGGTTTGAAAAGTCAAAAAGTCAATTAAAATAATCAAGTTTCCAAACGAGTATGTTCAGGGGTTTGTGTATATAATGATATGTATTTTTATTTTATTTTATGTTCTTATTTTTTTTTGTGGATAAGTAAGAATTTTATTAACTAGAGAAAAAAAAAAAAGATTTCATAATTAAAAGGCATATCCCTAGAGAATATGGACGAGGCTCCACAACTAAGATAAAGACCGAAAAAACCAAATGGGATAAGCCAATTGCATGATTTACATGTTTATCCCATCAATTGTCGTTAACTGTATGTTCTTTTATAGTATACCCATTTGTGGCTAATTAATACGTGGATTGGTTGTCAATGGATTCCTTGGCCAGTCGCCTTGTGTAGAAAATTATTGGTTTCATCTTCAAAGATTTGTTGGGTGCAATCTTACACCAATGTTAGGTACACATAATAGGTTAGATAATGGTTTATGAAAACGGACACTCACCTCATATTTCTAATTTTGAAATTTTTAGGGCTCTAAGAACAACAATTTGAAATATCATATCTTTACTTATTTGTCTATCTATTCATATTATTTATATATTCACATTCATTTGTATGTCTATGTGTCATTTATCTATTTGTTCACGCGTCACATATTTGTCCACTTAATCTGCCTATCCGTCAATATCACCTCCACCACTAGTTGCCATCGGCCACCTTTGATGACTTTTCTAATAATCCGTGGTGGTGGGGTAAAAATAAAAAATAAAAAAAATTTCAAATCAATAATTTGTCTTTCTCATTTTATGTTTTAATTATATGTGTTTAACATTATTATTGTATACCAAATGTTGGAATGGTGTTTTCAATACACAACATAGGGTTTTTGCCTTTCCTAAACCATGTTTAACTTGTCACCAAGATTTAAAAAAATAATAATTATAATTTAATTTGGTAACCTTATTTGAATATTCTAAACTTTTTCTAATGCTAAATTTGATTTTTTTTTTCTTGAATTTCAACTCATTTTTTTAGAAAAATAAAATAACTGTTATCTCTTAAGTTTTGAATTTGGTTATTTTTTTCTTCAAAATTAATTGAAAATTTCAATTTTCTGGCTAATTTATTTATATATATCCTCTTTTTTTTGGGTTTTTTTTTTTTTTTAGGAGCATTCCTCTATCCATGTTTTTTTTCCATTTTGGTACCATCATTTTAGCACTTTTGGCCACTGATTTGGGCATGTTTGAGAGCTTTCCATTTTAGTTTAAGCCCATTATATAAAATTATTTATTTTTAATTCAACACTTAAATTTTTATCAAACAGTTTTATCTTAAAAAATTCAGTATTCATTAATACTTAATTTTTAATTTTCATTTACAAAAAGTTTTATGATATTTACATTCATTGTCTTCATACATAACACAATCAATCAATTACATAAAAAAAAAAAAAAAAGTACTGGACATTAATAGTGACAGAGCACCTCAAAAATAACCAAAGTGAAAATAATAAATTTATTATAAATCAATAAAATTAGGTATTGAAATAAATCAATCTCAAGTATAAAGCAGATAATATGAAAATACCAAATTATTTTAAGGAAATTTACTAATAAATCCTAATTGTTGAACTTTTGATCCAATTAATCCCAAATATTTTTTAATGGTCCGTTTGGTCCTTTCTATTGTGAATGGACATTGTTGCCATCCATATGTATATTGGTGTAAGGTGTGTGAGTGTTTCCGCGCGTGTGTTTGACATGGGCTGATGTGTGGTTGTTGTGTGTTGCACCTTTATAATTTGAGAGTGGTGCTTGTCATGTATCACAGTTGTGGGTGCCACACAACATGAAAGGACACTAAAGCATTTTTTGCTCTAGTGTGTGATGTGTATGGTAGGAGTGTGTGGCACCTCTATAGTTTGAGGCATTAGTGGGTTACGTGACACAACATTACATGTGTCTCCATCACAACGGAAAAACAAGTAGATACAATCACAAAATAGGATGCAATAAAATACACAGTCACATAACCCACACAGAAGTAAAATGCACATATCAGTAAATACAGAGTCACAAACACATACAACCCACACCCATCCCAAAACAAAACACTCCACCCCTCGCGAAACACATAACCCACATACCAGGTAAAGAAACAAAACATGGAAACGCATCCACACAACGACAAAAGACGGCTGTGTCGGCGACTAAACTGCTATGTATGCCACACAAACACATAGCCGTCATAAGGGAACGTACCTTCGTAACAATGGCGTCCCGCCGATGGAAATGATATCTCTATCAAGCTGTCACACAGTCGTCCACAGACACCCAAACTCAGACGACACAAAACCCTACCCGTAATGGCTGACACATATGTGAACATTCCGTTCAAACTACTAAATGTGAGCAAAAAAGGTTTCCAATTAAAAAAAGGGTACAATTGTCCACTAGTAAAGAAAAAAATGGTAAAAAGGATCAGAAGGGAACAAATCTTCCCACCAGTAGGACTTACCGGAACAAAAATATAAAGTGGGGACTGATTGGTATAACAATTTGTGAGATAGGATTTATTGGTAAATATTTCATTTAAGTAATGAAAATTTAAGGACAAGTTTTTTTCAAGGGAGAGAGAATGAAATAGACGAAATTTTAAAAATGTTATATATATTTTATTATTTTGAAATTAATATTTAATTATAAATATTTTAATTTATAATAAAAT